TGAAATGAAACGCCAAATGTCAAAGCAAAGGAAAGGAGGGGGAAGAGGGGAGCTGAAGGAAATAAAAGGGATCACACACTGAGGACAACTCGCAAAAGCAAGAGTAGAGGGAGAGAGGAGTATCAACACGCCAGTGCGATAGCTGCTGGTGAGACAGCACAGCAGCAGCAGGCGCGGCAAGCACACAAGACAAGTGTGCAGGCCGCAACAGCACTGGCGCGAAGCCGACATCGAAAAAATATGGCAGTCAATGTTGCGCACGTTTGACCCCCGAAGCTTATGTGACAAGAAAACGCAACGGGCAACACTAGTGCGCGTGATTTAGGGGGGAGGGGGAAGAGGGAAAGGAGGGGAAGGGACAAGAGCAAGGAGCGAGGGGAGGGGGAAGGAAGGGAAGGAAGAGGAGGAACGACGAGAAGGAGGGGAGAGAAGGAAAAGGAGGAGAAAAGAGAAGAAGAGGAGGAGAAAAGGCAACGTCATTCGACGCACATGTAAATACACAAGCACACAAACACACACACGCAAGCACAGAGACACGTACTTTTGTTGCTTGCGCTTCTTCTTGTCCTTTGCCAGCTTTGCTGCCTTCTTGTACAGCTTGAGTGCCGCCTTGTTGAGGGCGGCTTCGTCCAGATCCTGTCCTCCCTCCTCGTCCTCGTCCTCCTCCTCCTCTGCGCTCTCTTCCTCTGCCAGCATCGCCTCTGCCGCTGTTGCGGGCACGGGTTCCTCCTCCGCGTCCTCGTCCCCGGATATGACGCGTGCCAGCCGCTCGTCGATGGCTGCCGACGACGTCGCCTCCAGACCCGTCCGCAGCGTGCTGCACGCCGTGTAGCTCGGGTGCGACTGCCGCAGCGTGCCCTTGGCCTGCGCATAGATGAGGTACAGCACGTTGGTTGTGTAGGCCGTGGCCAGCTTGTACTGGAAAACCACGTACTCTGCCCACTGCGGCAACTCGGCCGCCTTGGACAGCTTCTGTATCCGCTGATGCAGTGGCTCAAGCACCTCCCGTAATCGCACAACCTGGCGCAACAAGGGGGTTGGGAGTCTTGGGGTGAGAATAATGTGCAGGGAGGCAGCGAGCATGGTCAATGTAGGGGTGATGTGTTACAAGTGGGAAAGGAGAGGGGGGGGGGGGAAGAGAGAAAGGAGGGAGGGAGGAAGACAACAGCAACGCTCAAAAACCGCTGAAAGGCGCATGCCCGTGCAAGACCACAGCCAACGCACACCACACACACACACGCACACCACACTACACACACACACGCACGCGCACGCACGCGCACGCACACACACACACGCACGCGCACGCGCACGCACACCGGACACACACGCTGTACCTGCTGCTGCATGAATGCAGTGTGTCTGGCGAGCTCGGGAAGAGCCTTGCGCAGCATCTTCATGCGCTGCTTCTGTGTGAGTTGGGAGAGGTCGCGTTCCACGGTGACGGGCTGGTCGTCCAGCGCTTCCAGCGGATGCGCGCCTTGTTGCTGCTGCTGCTGCTGTTGTGCTGCCACGCCGGTCTCCTTGACAGCTGCAGGCAGAAGCGCATCAAAGTCGCCCTCGTCCATTGCCTCGGCTTGCTGCTTCTGCAGTCGCAGGGCCTCCACTTCCTCGTCTTTCGCCTCCTGCAGCTCCTCGTCGTTGTGCTTGAAGTCGTGGTCCACGTAGTTGGTGCCGTAGAACACCTGCTTGTTCGACCCCCAGCGGTTCAGAAACGCCTCCTGCTTCGCCTCGGCGTTCTTGCGGTCCACAATGTCGCCGTGTTGGTTGTACCCCGCCATCTTGTTGATGTAGTCCATGTTGCTTGGCAGAAGCAGGTCTTCCCCCATTTCGCGCAGCATGGCCAGATCCACGCGAGCGCGGCCGTCACTGTCATCCTCGTCGTCGCCAGCAGCAGCATCACCATCATCATCCTCATCGCGCCCGCCAAAGTCGTAGTCATCTGCAGCAGCATCGTCCTCATCCTCGTCATCGCCTTCGTCGTAGTGGTCCAGGCCCAGCACGGCCATGGTATCGTCGTCATCCTCATCACTCGAGGCACTCGAGGCATTGCGTTCACCGGGGTCCTGATGGTGGTAAATGAGAACAAGATTGCGTGTGCGTGTGTGCGTTGCGTGGGTGTGTGTGTGTGCGGTGCGTGTGAGAGACAGTGACACAGTGTGAGAGAGAGTGTGTGTGATAGGGGCGAGCAAGTGTCTCACACGAGCATTCAGGATCAAGGCACAGACGTGCACAGCGCCAGTGCAAGTGGTCGTCACCACGCAAGCCCACAGCACCACACCTTTTCTCTTAGTGCCTGGTAGTCGAGGACATCTGTGCGCACGAGATCGTCCTCGTCGTGCTGTCGGCACACAAAAAGAAGTGTGAGTTGCAGAAGCGAGATTGCATCGCATCATGTCACCAAAAGCACAGCATGCACAATGACGACCGCGCAGTGCGTGGAACGTCACACCAAGTCACCAAGTGCTTGTGTGTCCACTCACCGCATCGCCAAACACAC